CTGTTTGGTGTGAACCAACTTTAGTCTTTTGAAGGTGAATGTTAAGAGTGGCTGGGGCACAAGAGTGTTAGAAGTTAGGTCTAATTTGGGCTAAAAGGATATTGTGAGGTGGTCCCTGTGTGCACTAAGCCCTTCTTAACAAGGCTTGTGGCAGATTTCTCATTAAAAAAAAAAGAGGGCTAGAATTCAGAATACTCTAATCCCGGTGTAAGATCTGATCAGGTTGGAAGGCTGCTGCACAGTCCCTTCTGGGTTCTGTGGCCACAAGCCGAGGTGACAGCCTTTCATCACCCTGAGAAAGATGTCTTGAGCCTCTACCTCCTTCTGTGTCCCTGGCCCTGCTCCATGCAGCATCCTCGTTCTGTTTTTCAAATGAGGCTTGTGGTCTCCCGAGACCAAACCCTTGCCCTGCCCCTGCCATCCGCAACTTCACGCTTTCAGGACATAGAGTCCTTCTCTTGCCTCCCCTAACAGCTTCCCAATACTTTAATGATTGGGTTTCACACCGCTGGCTGAGCGCCCCATCTGGTTGATAGGGTGCTCTTGGTGTTGAGCCCTGAGGTCTGGCAGCCTCCTCTTCTCTAGCTCTCTCTGGCCCAGTGGGCTGAATGATAGAGCCCTGGCTTCTCCTCTGTGGATGCTGGCCCAGCCCAGGAGGGAGTTCCTCCCTGCCATTGCTCTCTCCTTAGCTTTGGCGGGATCACACCACTGGCTGGCCCACAGAAGGGAATATGAAGTTAACTTTCTCAGTAAATCTTCCCTCTGGACTCTTCAAGATAGAACAATCATTTGTTCCCATAGATAAGCCGTGAATCTAAATGCTTAAAAAATTGAAACCAGATTAATAAAGCCACGACGGCTGCCAGTATCTTAGAATTCTAGGTGGAGCTTCGCCCCTGGAAGGTCTTAAGGGTTTGGGAAAATAGGAACGCCTAAGCTGGGAACTCGTACCAAATAAAATATTAGTGTAGCCTGTAGAAGATGTGTGTGCTCTTGTTTAGTTTCAGGTCAACAATTTTAATTACTGTCTTTCAGTTAACAGTTCAAACATTAGAGGGAGAAAACCAGATACTGTCTTTTTGGGACACATAAAACCTTCACAGCTTTAAATTAGTAAAAAAAAAAAAAAAAAAGCAACATTGAGGGCAGAGAATGTAACACTTTGTAGTCACAGATAACTAAAATAGACTTCACAGTCTAACATTAATTAAATCAAATAGCTGCTGAGCACACAGTAATTGAACACATTACCTACTGTCTCTGTGCTCTTGGGTTGTTTGGACTCAGACCTATTTAGAAGACATTTTCTAATTTGTGCTGGGAGCACCAATGAGTTGCTTAGGGTAGACACAACTCAGAATACAGACCTGAGTCCTGGCACCCTTTTCCATGAGGATCTGCCTCCTGGCCCTGCACCCTGGGCTATCAGGTATCAGGGCAAGTGGGATGGTGATTTCCACAGTTGAAGGAACCATAAATGACTTTTCAGAAGTCTCAGGCTGCACCCCAGAAAACGGTTGTTTAGCAAGCCTCTGGTTCATGTGGGGAGACTAAGAGCAGTGTAGGAGGCAGAATCAAGGCCTTGTCAAGACATCCATGTTCCGACCCTGGAACCTGCAACTGAGGTACCTTACTTGCAAAGGAATATAGGAAAGTAGGCACACAGGTGGCTTAAATAAAGGTACTATCCCGGATTACCTGGGAAGTCCATGAAATGACAAGGCCACTCCTGAGGAATAAGAATCAGAGTGGGGCAAGTGGACAAAGGCTTTACCTGCTGTGACTAAGGTGGAGCACAGGCCAAGGGGTCAGGGTGGGAACCCTCACCCAGAAAACCACCCAGAGCGGTGGTTTCTCCTCAGGGCTCTGAAAAGGAATCAGCTCATCTGACACCTTATTTCATTAATCTCTTCTCCACCTCCCTGATGCCGGAGGAGCTTTGGTCTTGACTGCAAGAGGCTGAATTTTGCACTTCAAAAAGCATTATAAGTATTCCTGGACAGACATCACAGCATTAACAAATCAACCACGGTCTACTTAAATCATTTTTTTTCATGCTATTGTCTTAGAACTTCACTGTGTTGTGCAAATAAAATTTGCATGGTGGACTATAGTAAATTTGCAGAATTTTGTAGCTTTACTTCAGATCATAAATATTTCTTACATTGTACTGTTTTTTTCATAATGTAAGTGCTGCTTGACGTTTCACTTGGACTGATTTCTACTAAATAAAAAAAATGTTTCTTTTTGCTGGGCATCCATTGAATTAATGCTTGATGGTGAGCGTTGCTACAGTGAACATCACCGGTATGATGGTAAATGTTGTCAACTTGACAGAATGTAGGATTTCCTGGGAGGTGGACCTCAGCGCATGCCTGTGTGGATTATCTTGATTAGGTTAAATGAGGAGGGGGCACCCACCGAATCGAATGGCTTTGTTCCCTAGGTCTGGTCTAGTCCTGACTGCGTAAGTGGTGATGGTAATAGGGGGTGAGATGCTTCGGGGCAGCAGCCACTGCTCTGTGCTCCTGATTATAGGTGGGATGCCATGTGGCCAGTTGCTTCAGGCTCCTGCTGTCTTGTCCCCCCCCCCCCCCGCAATGTTGGACTATACTCTCGTACTGGGGCAGAGGGAACCCTTTCTCCCTGAAATTGATGTTGTCGGAGTGTTTTAGCATAGCACCAGGAAAGTAAAGAAGGAACTGGGCACCTGCGACTTTCCTTCTCTTAGAAGATTTTATTACAAGTAAATCACATGGATCTAGAACATAAATGCATCTGTTTCCATGGTGATTAACAAATTGCTTCCTCAAGTCATCATGTCAAAGGCTGGGTACATAGCCCAGTGTAAGAGTGCTTGCTTGCTCAGCGAGTAGGAGGTGCTAGGTTTGACTTCCACATGTAAAAATCAAGACACGATGTCAGTTTATCAAGCCACCAGCCGCAGACAGGTACACAGAGCCAGCCTTGTCAGTGTTGGTGGTTAACTCTCAAAACTGTTGTCTTAATGTCTTCCAGTGGATTAGTAATGGCTTCTGATGAATAAAGAGATGGGAGATGCTTGGTTTAGGGCGTTTCTATTTATTTAGACACATAGAAGATGCTTGTCTTTGGGCTTTTACATTTACTCTGATGCATGAAAGTAACTTGAACTGCAGAATCTCAAAGGATTGTTAAGAAAAAAAAAAAAGAAAATCTACCCAATTCAACCATTAGCATTAGGACTCATGGCACAAAAGGGTTAGTGGTCATTGAAGCAGTTTAATAATTCACTGTGGAAAAAAATCAATCAAGAAAAAACTCGAAGCCGGGCGTTGGTGGCGCACGCCTTTAATCCCAGCACTTGGGAGGCAGAGGCAGCCGGATCTCTGTGAGTTCGAGGCCAGCCTGGTCTACAAGAGCTAGTTCCAGGACAGCCTCCAAAGCCACAGAGAAACCCTGTCTCGAAAAACCAAAAAAAAAAAAAAAAAAAAAAAAAAAGAAAAAGAAAGAAAAAGAAAAACCTCGAGGGATCCTGAAGTCATGCTGGAGAACCTCCTCATGATGGCCCCTAAGTAGCTTCTGGTTGGGGCTGGTCACCAGAAAGATCAACCACATGTTCTGAGGGTGAGATTTCAGTAGCCATGAGCTCCAGCGAGTGTGGGCTGAGTGAAGGACTGGAGACTGAAGTCAGGCGACCAAGGATTTAATCAGCCAGGTCTGCATCGGGTCACACAAGGAAGCAAGCACTTACCACTTGCTGTGTGCAACAAAATAACAAACAGGTTAATGGCATTGCACATGCCAAGACAGAGGGGACAGCCACTTGCTCTTGACGATGACTTTACGCTAGTAGCCTGCACGGGCGTACCATCATACAGAATGTGCACCCCTGCCACCTGTCTACTGACAGACTTACACATGCTTTCCTTTTGTCTTGCTTTGATTTCCATCTGAATTCTTTGCAGTGAACACGCTGGTCTTCCTTTGCCTCTCAGGATGATGCTACATCCCCCCGCACACCTTGGGTGTGACAGACTGGGTGTTGGCACCTTCCCAATAACCAACAGAAGTGGGAGACTCCCAAGTCCATGGTGCATGAATAAGCTAGGGTATGGTTTGAACAAATCATTTTTGGGGATCCTGGTGCCTTCTTGGTGTGTCCTCGTGTGGTGGAATAAGCAAAGGGTGCCCTGAGTCTCTTTGCAGGGCTTCATGATCTATCTGGTCACTCCTGTAAAGCCTCCTAACACCCTTTGGGAGTGGTGAGGGAAAACAGAATTATTCATATTATAGAAGAGGGAGGACAATGATAAATGGGGTCTTTCTCACTTTCATTTGATCTACTCCTTCAAAGGAGCTCGGACAGTTGGACCATCCAGTACAACACGACACCACAAATTGCTTTAAATTTCAGAGGGCGTTCCCACTGGGCTTCATTCCTTTGCTCTGTTCAGGGGATGAAGAACAAAGCTGTAGAACTTCCATGCCACAGAATACTGTTTGGCAACAAAAGGGAATTGTCTACTGACACACATGACACGAATGAATCATCAGAACATTAATTACATGGTGAAAAAGGCCAAGGCCACAAACTCACATATTGTATGATTCAGTTGCTTATCTCTGAAATGACAGGGTTTTGGAAGTGGAGTTGAGACTTAATGAGTTGGAAACAGCAGCTGACACGAGCAACCAATCATAATGCAGAAACTGGCAATGAGCTGTAGGACGATCTCAAGATTACTGGGACTCAGTATCTCTGTTAAATGTCTGAATAGCACGAGAATGTGGTGTCAACCCAACATTTGTGACACAGATAGGAGATCAGCAAGTTCCAGGCCAGTCTGGGCTATATAGTGAGACCCCTGTGTCAACACAGGGAAGAGTGACCAACCCTGATATGTCCAGCCTTTTTATATTGCAATGCAATGTGGTCATTTACAAAGTTTACTCAGAAAAACTGTGCAACTGAGTTATCCCTCAACAAACACACACACACACACACACACATCTTATAATACTTTTGAGTAAGTTTATAATTTTATATTAGCTGCATTCACAGTTATCCATGGACAAATATGACACATAGGCAATGGGTTGGACACCCCTGACATAATTCAGCCCCAGCAGCTGACTTTCTGTAGGGAACCTTGGGGTAGCCATTCAGAAGGCAGACATAGTCATTGCACAAAACTTTCAGACCCATCATCCTTAACTGCTCTGAGAAGCATCTCAGAACCGTGTTATAATAATAACGCATGGTTATCCTTCCTATCTTGACACAGTACACTAATAAAGATCTCAGTGCCCAAGCCAAGAAAGTTAAGAGGTTGCTTGATTGTTTAGGACTAAAATGATTTGAATAAATTTCCATTCTATTATTGGGAGTAAAGTATCTTGAAGACAAAGGTTCTGTGACCTTTTCATCATGGTCATTATTAGTATTGTACACCGAGCCCAACTAATGCCGACCAAGACTTCTCTGAACTACAATATGAGTCATGAATAAGTTACTCAAAAGAGTTCTGAAGATAAAAGCTGGAGATGTAGCTCACTAGTAGAGTGCTTGCTTAGCAAGTCCTGGATTTAATCTCTAGTATCACACACACACACACACACACACACACACACACACACACACACACACACACACACACACTCTGAAGCTAGAAACCACAGCACATGAGGTAATGTGTGACATCAGGCCTTAAGTTGTATGACGGCTCCTTCTCTCCATGGCTGGTTTTCTTGCAGGTTGAGGACAGCAGTCAGAGATGTCTCTCATTGTAGCAACTGGTAGTTGTTAAAGTCACAGACTTTGTGTTGGGTAATGGAATCTAAACAGAGGGGAAAAAAAAGGTAACTTTACAGTTAAGGTTGCTAAGATGGCTAGTTGCAACACAGGTAATCCTCTTTTTTACTTTTTATAAAATGATAGTTTAAACATCCTAAATGTTTCAGAACTGCTCATAGTCCCACTTGATTTTTAAAGTAAAAGGAAATAAAGTAAAACAAAGTAACTACTTCATGAATACTATAAGATGTACCTGGTCACAGACAGAGGTAGGTAGCTGGTCAGCAGTGTGCGACAGTTGGCCAGTCCCTCTGCTATGACTGGGATATGTAATGCTTCATGGGTTTATGTTGAAAGCTCAGTGCCCCCCTAGTGGTGCTGGAAACTTTACAAGTGGAGTCTAGCAGAGGAAGCAGGTGTCTCAGGCATGTCCGTGGTTAGATCTTTCCCTGGTACCTTCTCCTCTCTCCCTGTGCTTCCCAGCTGCCACAGGCTGCTTTGCTCTGCAGTATACACCCTTAGTCGTGATTCATTGCCCACCCATGGCCCCCAACTGGTAGAACCAGCCAAGAATGAGCTGAGATTGCTGAATTGAGGGCTACAATACATCCTTCCTCTCGTGTCATTTTTCTCAGGGTTTTGGTCACAGGAACAAAAGTTATGACTGATGTGTTACCATTTGTCAATACTAAGAAGCTTACTATGCATAACTGTCTTCTTACTGTAAAAATGAAAAAGGAACACAGATGACTGTCAGTAACCACTGGCTGACAAGATTAGTTAGAATCATTACAGCATTTCCCATCACAATTGTATAGTCAGCTGGACAATGACATTTGAAGGACCTGGAGGAGTGATGCTAATGAAAGACAGAAAGCTATGATGGCTGTGTGGAACAAAGGGGAAGTAGAGAAATAAAAAAGCTCATCTTAGTTTTGGCTTAAGAAAGTATCCAAGAAAGTATGCCTTTCTGTATAGATACACTTCCATATAGAGTACGAGTTGGTGAGGGATTCCCTGGTGGGCTTCAGAGTGGTAAACACATTGACTAGCATTTGATGCATATATTTGTACTTAAGAACACATGTGTGTGCACGCACACATGTATAGTTACGACAACGCTTGCCAGTATGGGCACACCATCTAGTTTACTCCACAATGGTGAAGTAGGCCGTATGGTTTATCCCTTTGTCTGAGCTGGCTGTGATGCATGATGCATTATGTTTTTGTTGTTGTGTCTTTTGCTTTTCTTTTTTTTTGTACACACTTTTGCCATGTAAGAGCTATTGTCGCCGGGCGTTGGTGGCGCATGCCTTTAATCCCAGCACTCGGGAGGCAGAGGCAGGCGGATCTCTGTGAGTTCGAGGCCAGCCTGGTCTACAGAGCGAGTTCCAGGACATCCTCCAAAGCCACAGAGAAACCCTGTCTCGAAAAACCAAAAAAAAAAAAAAAAAAAAAAAAGCTATTGTCTTCTTTATATGTTTACATTCTATTGACATTTCGCTTAATTGTACCTGGGTTTTGAGTCACAAATGAAGATAGGCTCCCTGCACCCGGTCTATAAAGTAATTCAGCCAAATTTCCATCCAGATTGTAAGAGCTCTTTGGACTCTGGTTTTACACATGGATTTCTTACTGGGTCAGTTTATAAGGCCAGGGAAACAAAAACAAAATAAACAAAACAAAACCCCAACCTGTCAAAAGGATGCATCTTCCTACTTAATCTGAAAATTCAGTATAACAAAAAATTTCAAGTTTAAAAATGAAAAAGGAAATTAATTTATTGACTCTAACACAGGGATACAGATTGGAAAAGGAGAACAAGGTGATAAAAATAACTGAACTGTTGTAATTACAGCAGTAAAGTTCAATGTGATTTGCAAAGAACAAAGAGAACAATGCAGGAAATTGTGAAATGAGCCCATATATAGGAAGTGAGTGAAAGGGGTCCCTGCATACCAATGTCCAACAGGCAGGTCAGAAAAATGACCAGCCCTGTTTCCCCAGTCCTTCAGACTACAGCGAGTAAACTACAGCTCCAGACAGTAGGACAACTATAGTTATTATCACTATTATCATTCAGCTTCTTGAGATAGGCTTTTATGTAGCCCAGGTTGTACATGATCTCGATACTTTTGCCACCTCTCAACTGTGTCACCAGTATGCAGCTAAGAGTTTTAAGCAGGAATGATGCAAGAGATGTCCTCGAAATTGAGGCAATAGTTCTCCCTCTCTTTGTCTTATTCTTGCCCTGCCTTAGCTCTTTCATTCTTAAAACAAAAACAAAAATCTCTAAGCCCCTCACTGGCCAAGCTCTTTAATAGGTCTTGGCACTCATCTAGGGCAAGCAACAATTTTCTAACCACACTTCTGTGTGGTCTTATGAAGTATGGAACCAACATGCTGCCAACATTAGTGTTTTATGGCGCTGAGGACAAATATATTTAACTGAAACTTGGTAGCTAGTGGCTGGTGACACTGTGCCAGCTCAACAGCACTGGGGACTAGGCTTTATTTTATCTTTGCTTATCAAAGAAGTTCAGTGGCCATGTACACAAACTCATTCAGTTAGGCGTCTCCTCTTTTTCAGTGTGGGATGGGTATTACCTAGTCTCTGGGGGATATTTATGGCAAGAGCTTCACCCTTCAATAGTAGGGGCTTAGGTGATGGATGTCTCTGTCTTAGGGAGGGTGAAGGAACACCATGACTAAAAGCAACATGGAGAGGAAAGGGTTTATCTGGCTCACACTTCCACATCACTGTCCATCACTGAAGGAAGTCAGGACAGGAACTCGAGCATGACAGGAACCTGTAGGCAGGAGCTGATGCAGAGGCCATGGAGGAGTGCTGCTCACTGGCTTGCTATTTCAACTGCATACTTCAATGCCATTAAAAGCATATTTAAAGCTGGGCGGTGGTGGCACACACCTTTAATCCCAGCACTCGGGAGGCAGAGGCAGGCGGATCTCTGTGAGTTCGAGGCTGGGCTGGACCGACAGCCTCGAAAACAATACAGAGAAACCCTGTCTCGTAAAAACCAAAAAAAAAAAAAAAAAAAAAAAAAAGCATATTTAAAATACTGTGCAACTACCAGCACTTAGGAACTTCCGAACTTTCTCATGATTCCAAATCTCTATATCCACTAAACAGCAACTTGCCACTCCCATAATTCCTGTCTTTGCTTCTGGCAACTCTGATCACATGTTCTGTCTCTGTCTCAGGGATATCACTAGCATGGATTTGTCTTTCTGTGCTAGCTTACTCCACTGGGCAAAATGTCCAAGTGGAGCAGGTATCAGGATCTCCTTTTGCAGGCAGGAGATAGGACACCATGCTGACACACTGTATTTGCCTTGCTGTCATCTGTCAACTGATACTTAAGAGTTCCTTCCATCTTTTTGTCACTGTGAAGAAATAATGCTGCTTTAATTATAGACATCCACATCCTGAGAGACTCATCACTCATATTTGGGATGGGATATGTATGCCAAGCAGTGGATCTGCTGGCTCACATGGCAACTCAACACAGTGTTTTCCTTAGTGGCCACAATACTTACATTTCCCTTAGTAGCATACAAGGGTTCCAATTATCCGCATTTTCTTGAACACTCTTTTTTCTAACTTTTGGTGTGTGTGGGGGGTGGGTGTGTGGTTCTGATTCACACTTCCCCAGTGGTTAGTTCTGTTGGCCACTTTGTCATGGGCTTATTATACATTTGCATTTTCTCCACACTCACGGTCCCATTCCTTCACCCTGATCTTACCATTATTGTTTGAGTCACAGGAGGCTTACTTACGCACACTCGTTATAAAGCCCATCCTTCTGATGTACTCTCATTTATCTGCTTTTACTTCAGCTGTCTCCCTTCAGAGTTGACGCAGAGTGGCCACCTCTTTCCCCGCTGTCCACTCTGCAGTCTCTGAGGTGGTGGGGAGAGCCCCAGCCCTAGCGGCGCCAGCTTGCCCTCCTCCTGGCTATCCACCACATGCACACTGTCACGCCATTCTCAAGATGGCTTTCCTTGACTGGGGCATAGCCTAGTTGCCACAAACCTTTAAAGGCTGTGTGGGTTTCCCACAAAGTTGGTTTGCGTAACTTCTGCTTATTCTCTCGTGTTTCTGTGACGGAGGAGCCTCTGGACCATGGGCCTGGTGTTGGGATGGCGTCCCCCTGCGGCAGTTTGATGGATGGTGGAACACACTCCCTGATTCCTCTTCACTCTTAGTTTCCGTTTCCACTCCCTGACTCGGTTCTGGCGTCTCATTTTCAAATGTGTCAACATGCGTTTGCTCATCACACTGCATTGGTTTCTAACATCCCTACTGTGTGTGTAGTTGTCTTAGGCTCATTTGCAGTACTGTTCACTGACTGCTTTGCCTTCTCTTCTCAGGACTGATTGCACTTTTACTATTTAGAGATTGGGCTTCACTGCCGCCCAGCTTCATGGTCTTCTCTGTCTTTGTCTGTTAATATCTGGGAGCGTCACTACTGTGTTCTCCTCTTTTTGTGCTTAAGGTTATCTTGATGTCATTCATCTTCAAGCACTGATGTTTAAGGAAAAACTGAATATTAAAACAGCATGATTTCATCCAGCTGCTGTTTTCCCTGCTTAGAGCTGGGGAGATTTATCATCTAGGGTAGGACACCTCAGCCTCAGGCCTGTTTGCAGAACACTGCTCTGTAGCACACAATTGCTAGTCTACCTATTAGCAGTCTTAACAATCAAAAGAAACTTGCACTACTAGTATAAGCCCCACTCCTTAAGAGGAAGAGGCTGAACTGGAAATCAGGTAGCTGGGCTGGTTTCTAGAGTTCTCTGTGATCCACCCATGACTTTCATGGGGGACTTCAGGACTCAGTGAATTACAGGAACCCCAGGCTATGACCAGAGAGGCCCCTAGGCAGGGTGGGGCAAACAGCATTCATCTGCACTGACATCTGAGGTCAAGGTGCTTCTCTGGAGGTCTCTTCCTTGCCTGGCTGAAGCTCTGCACCCTCCCGTGGTCTTTTCCCTCGGCAAGCTCTCCCTTTTCTTAGAAGA